GGGTTAACCCTAGATGGACCGCACCCAGACCACTTCATTGGTGCCTATAGTGGTCATTTAAGGTTGCTCATGTGAAGACCATTGTTAACGTGTGTGTAATGATGAATTTGCAATGCTCTTGAAGAAGAAGACATACCAAAATGACTGGGTGAAAGGGTTATAGTGACACATCTCTGAAATCAATAATATATTCAGGGTTAAAAGCAGTTTTCTTTTATCTCACAGTAATCTTCTTCAGTCAATAAGCAGAGTGTTAGACTGGTAACATTCAGAGTTTAAAAGTTTATGAACCTCTCACTTGCAACACTAAGTATTAGGAATGTAATATTGCTGCATAGGACTCTGGGAATTTTGAAGAGGATTGAATAAAGGGGAAGTTATATTAGTCACTCAAGACATAGTTTGCTAGCATAAGCAAAATGCATTATTTCTGTAGTGTTAGAAACTACAACTAATGCTACATTTACATTTTGTTATTGACACTGTAGGATTAAATGAGAACAAAGTACACTTTTGACATGCATATGGGAAATGAAAGAGAACAGCAAATATGATTTAAAAAATATTCCCTATAATTCATTAATTAATATTCCAGGTCACAGTCATGTTAATTTGACCCAAGGAGCAAATTAGAATTAATAGAAAAAATAAAGTGGAAACTCTACTGGAGGCCACGGGTCTCACTAAATTAAATTAAAATGCAATCAAATCAGTTGTGGGAAAATAAACATAATCCATTTTAAATATAATCACAGAGCATTAACCTATCATTCCGTGCAAAATGGCTTATTTAGAGTTATGTTGTGCTAAAAGAAAAAAAAATCCTCAATTGCTAACTAGAGAAACAAATAATGTATTTGAATGAACAATTTTAATATAGAATTTTGTTGAACGTTCTGAATACCAACAAGTATGTTTTGAAGGTTAACTATATGGTTCTATCGTACAACGAAAGTGTGAGTGGCCATTTGAAAACTACACATTTGGTTTATTCATACACACAGTTATGCGCTATGCACTATTCTTGTCATTTGTTTAGCAGATCATCCCCTTTTTTGCTATACAAGTAAAACAATTTGTCTGCTTCGGCAATTCGGATCAATTGCATTTGGTTCGGTTCTACAATTCGGAACTTTGGTAATTCGGACCCTAACCCCTAAACCTAAACTTTAACCCCTAACCCTAACCGCTTGTTTTGCCACTTTTCAGAAATGTGAAGCAATTCAGAACTTCAGCAATTCGGAACTTCGGCAGTTCGGTTCGGTTCCGCACTTCGGAAATTCGTCAATTCGAACTTCGGACATTCGTAAGCATCCGAATGTCCGAATTGCACAAAATTTGTCCGAATGTACATTCAGAACGAAACAAATTGCACATGTCTATGAGAAACAATCTGAACCAAAATGTGCCTATTAGTCTTCTGCAAAATATGTACATAATACATATATTTTAACATCATTTGATTCACAGATCAAGTGAGAAGAAATAAGCAATACAAAAAAAATAAGAGAAAAGGCAAAAATAAACTAAAATTTAGATTTATATATATATATATATATACACACCCTGTTTCATTAAAGTAGCTATGTATAAAATATGCATAGCTACTTTAATGATACAGGGTAGTAGACTTGTATATGTGGTTTCCAATGAACCTCGATTTGTCCGAATTTTGAGAAAAGGGCAAATTCTGTAACTCTAAAATGCCCTATGAACGAATCCCAAAACAAACATAACTAGGAATAAACCAGTATAAACAAGGAATAGAAACAAGAGTAATCTGATTACTGATTAAATATTTCATTATTATTTATTACCAGATGCGGCTCAACACGAGATTCCAGCTTGTGGTACTACCCCTTGTCTGCCAGTTGATCCGTCTGCTTATTCACAATCGTTCATTCATCTGGACAGCTCGAAGTGGTGTTGTGGGAACCATAGACATCTGTCTCCATCTATTAATGGGTTGCGCATCGGACTTTTGGGACTTCATACCTACGTTTTTCTATAATTGTGTGGAAAGGCCCCCCCACACGAATAAGTAACATTTCTGTCTATTTTTTACTATTTTTCTAAGTATCTCCCTTTTCCGATTTTAGTGTGTTGATCATCGCTTAAGGTTTATTTATTTTTTATTTATTTACATATATTTGGGATTGGTTACCTTGACCTCCCCCTCACTATTTAGTGGACAATGCCCCTGATTGTTTGAGGGAGCCTTTGAGGGAATATATTATATCTTTATTTTTTTATACATTGTTTGTATCTTTTTTCTTATGCACATAGATACATTCTATTTGATAAATCCTCCTGCAACTTGTTATATCTTGGCTGCAGTTTCTTTTACGTCATTACAGCTATAGATATCTTGGGATGATTTGGATTTTTTTCCTTTTAGAGCGGATTGTGGCTTGATCTTTTTTTTTTTCTTTTTTTTTATATAGATTTCTATAGCTTATTGATTATAGTGAGTGTTTATTAGTTTTGAATATAGAAGTGCTCACACTATTTTTACATTTGATACATCTTTTCATAAGTCGCTCGCTTACTGTTTTAAGCTTCCCAGTTTTACTTATTACAGCATATTTGCTTGGACCCACTAAGTTTTTACGTTTGTATTTCTCCCTCCAAATGAGTATACATGCATATTTATCAGATTCTTACAATTATATGCAATGATAATTGGTCAAAAGCTCAACTTAGACTATGCGTAATCTGAATAGATGAAATTGGTTCAAAACGCATTTTTGAAATGTCATATGTATGTATGGTCTTTGGTTGAATAATTGGTACCATAAAGCAAATAAAAATGTCAGCTTGTGAAAAGGTAGGGGTTAATCAGAATCTGCAATGAAAACCATTTATGCATATATTTTGAAACAATTCACATACTACTATAACATATGTAATATTGTATTTTAAATAATAATTTTAAAAAACTGCTAACAGTTATTTTTCTTGTACATGGTTGCTTTTTTTTTTTCCAATAGAAAGCTGCTAACTTCTACTAAGAAAACACACTGCGTATTTCTATCTTCATGCCGTCAATGAATAACATTGAGATATACGGTCCCATGTTGTGCTGACTATCTTTAAAGAATACCTTACAAAGTTACAGCAAAGCTGTTCAATACATGATAAAAAAATGAATTCATGATCTCCTATGTGTGATACCAATTGCAAGTCTTTTACCACACCAGGCAAGCAGTTAAATTATATTCCCTGCTGCTTTAAATTATTAAGGACCACTGTCTATGACTTTTGATAAAGTCAAGAGTAGGTCTATCAAAAAAATAGCTTGACTATAAAATGTGAATTTGAAAATAATACCATAGTAGGAGTTTTAAGTCTCTTGTAGTTCTTCATCTACACTAAACTTTAGTCTCTCTGTGTCGATATTTGCCTAGGGCTATGCATTTAGAATCAATAGAAATGTATTTAATAGAAAAAATATTACTCAAGAAAAATTGACTTGTGTAACTAATTTGTAAAGTATAAAATATGGATTTTTTGTGTGCAGATATTATGGTTTCCCAAAAGAGATAAAAAAAATTAACCTTGTTGATTTCTTCAAATTTTTTTTTAATCAGCAAAAAGGCCTTTTCAGCTCTTGGATGACATTATCTTTGTTTACAAAGCACCAATTCTTTCTTAAGCACCGTACAATGGACAAATGAAACAAGAAATATTACAAATTTAAGTGAATTAAACACAAGAGGAAAAAGAGCCCTGCTCTTTCAATGTAAAGGATTCAGAGGATTATCGATTCAATATAATAAAGCACACATTTCATCATCTCCAGTTATGTTATCATAGACACAAGACACAAAACCAAATAAAAGGCACCCACTGGTGCCCATGAAATTGTTTTTATAGCATATTGAAAAATATGCAGGAAACAAGCATATTTCTATGCAGTAATTTTTGGATGGCTTTACTAGACCATGGGGTCTATATATAAATATATAAACATTTATTCCATGTGCTCGGTAAATATTCTGAATGTGGATATAAGGCACATTAGTAAGTTTTCAGTATTTTCTTGTTTTTCGTAGTACAGTACATAAAGGGCTTTACGTCCCTATAAAATTTTCACTCCGACTTCATTGTCATTGCGTGGAGTCCCCATGTTTAAGCACTCGGGACCACCATTTAGATGATAGACAAAATCATTGTGCAGTAGGAGGATGTGGCACTAATGCTGCATATCTAGCATTAATTAATCAAAACACTGTATGATTTCATGGTTTCTGTGTAGAAATCCATAAATGTTTCTTGATTTAAAGGAACACTATAGGGTCAGGAATACATATGTGTATTCCTGAACCTACAAGGTTAAAGACACTATTTAGGATGCCAGCCAATCCGCCTCCTTGGCTGAGATAATCAGAATACTATGGGAAAGCATTGGATTGGCTGAGATTATCAATTATGATGATTTCAGCTAATTAGGCAAGGAGGGGTGGAACCAAATGCAGTTTTGGCCAATCCGCATCTAATCTTACAGATGCATTGAATCAATGCATCTCTTTGAGTAATGTTCAGAGTCTCCATGCAGGCGGTGGAGACACTGAATGTCAGTGCTGCACATTGTGCAGTACTAACATAGGAAGTATCTCAAGTGGCCATCTGAGTAACTGCTAACAGAGGTATCCCTAGGTAGTAATGTAAACATTGACATTTCTTTGAAAGGCAGTGTTTACAGGAACAATTAAGCTGTAGTTGTTCTGGTGACTGTAGTATCCCTTTAAATTCAAGGGATTTTTTTGGTGTTTTGTTCCTTATTATCTAACCCCTTTGAGGTTAATCAAAAAGTAATGACCTAAGCAATTAAAAAAATACATACTGGTAGTCGTGACGTCATTCAGCGGAAAGAGTGTGATTTGGAGGAAGCCCCGGTGCCCGGCTCCTATCTGTCTCCGTGGTTCACCGCTTCTGGAGTGCGTCTTGTCGCCGCTGTGAGTTGTGAATGTTACGCTGGTTCCCGCACCTCTTCCAGCATGGCGGCAGATCCCGCTTTGAGCCGCATGCTGCAGGCCGCTAGCTATGGCCTTTGTTACAACAAACCGTATAGGATGGAAAAGATCCCTTTGGGATACATTCAGCAGGTATGCCACACGGTACTGGAGTCAGGTCTGCAGTTGTCAGGACAAAGAAACTTCACAGCTCAGAGCCCACTGATGTATGAGTGGTACCAAGAGTATTATGTTGACCCTGCCCATGGCCTTGCAGGGATATACTACTACTTAATGAAGCCTGAATGCAACCTTGGTAGTGATAAGCTGTTGACCTTTGTGCGACCCAGTTTGGACTATTTCAGCCATCTCAAGTTCCAGACTGGCAACTACCCACCCTGCATAGGCGACCATAGAGATTTAATAATCAAAATAGGATCAGCGCTAATAATGCCACAGAAAATGTTTGGTAGAATAATTGAAAGGCAGCATAAAGGGGGGAACCCTCCTATCTCCTATAACTAGGTAAAAAACGGAAAGAACAAAGGAAATAGGGTGTGCCTTTCATAAAAATACATAGGTATATGACTAAAAGAATATTTACTAAAATAAAATAAAAATTGAGATAAAAAAGTCCAAATTGATAGTCCACAAATAAATGAAGAGTATTCTTTGTAGCTTAATGTTGTCTCTTCCCAGATGATGACTTGCATTTTCAATGAGCCATATGTGGAGAAAAGTAAAAGGACAACCAATGGTACAGTATGTAGATAAAGTTGAATGTATGTGCAATAAATTAGAATTACTCACAATTCACAGAGCTAAAATCCAGCTCTGGTTTGAAGTGCGTGAAGTGGAATGATCCCCACTCAAGGATATATAAAGCAGTGGCTTGAGAAATAAATGGTCCACCGAGGATTCCGACCGAGAATAAAGACAGATAAAAGTATATAGTGCTCACTGTATGATATAAGTATAAAATGAAATGTACTCACAATATATTGAGCATTCTTCTCTGCTCAATTTTTAGCGTATGGGTGGTATAATCCCCACTTAAGGATTTTTCATGAGTCCGTGTTGGTTCAGGTTAGTCAGGTATAAAAAATAAAATTAAATTAAATAAAAATAGGAATGTGGCAATAAAGTATTTGAGGCCAAAATTCCTTTATTATGACAATATAAGAACTATTAAAACAGATTCTAAGCGCGTTTCGCCCACAACAGGCTTCTTCAAGTAGAATAATAGTCCATAGAGATTTGCTAGTACACTGGTGCCTATAAGGTTTTTGGCGATCAGAAATACCTGATAGAACGGGCGCTTGTGAGAGAGAGAGGATGCGGCAGATGTGAAGGCTTAAAGTTTCATGGGTCCTCCACTTGCCATACATGACTTTATACATTTTGAATATAACATACAAGCCTACTGGGCCCTTTACATGTATATGGGCTGTACCCCCCAATGTCATGATGGCAGCTTTGTCTATATGAAAATATAGTTTGTTCATATATGGCCCTCATCTCCTTCTTGGTCAACAACAATTCTTCTTGCTTTGTGTTTACTAGGATCAACATTTTTTTTTTTTTTAAATCTTCCTCTTGCTCATTAGGAACTGATTTTCAAAATCAGTGGCAATATTTTGCTCTGTGCCAACTCATCAATCTGAGGTCCTGCCCTCAACCTGGCACAATGTCTCTCTTTAAACCTGTTTATTGTAGAAATTGGGTTAATTGCAGCATAGGTATTTCATCAGTTTTGAAATGCCAACATAAATCACAAAAGTGCTCCAAAACACTTACCATTTGCAGACATGGATGGTTAATCCTTTTAGGAAACAATTTGGTTACAAAGTGACAATTTTATGTCAGTCACTATTTAATTATACATAGATATGGGTACTTATCAGCACAATTCCCATTGAAATAAAAAATAGATCTTCTTTAAACATTTAACTTTGTCCACAGGGCCTTCCTTTATAATGATGTTATATTTCCTTATTATGTACAGAACATTTAACATGCAGTATGAAAATGCCTATCATAAATAAAGCTTGTGCTATCGAATGGTATTTCTAAATATGGTTCATGGTTTGCTCATTTGTAAAATGCTGATTTTGTTTTAATTTTTTATTCATGTTTAAATAGTCTAAAATATCTGTTTTGCTTGTTAGCTTAGCTTGCGATTGTCAGATGTTTAGCAGCAGTGCAAAAGATAAAAATTACGTAGAATAAACAGTTTATTGCTCATTTATTTTGCTATCCCGCTTATCACAGTAAAACTCACATTGCCCAAGGTTAATAATGACTACAGAGACAAAAATGATGGAAGAAATATCCTATTAAATAATGTAGTTAAAAATGGCAGATGTCACACTGTGAGACTTGTGCAAATTTGTATAATTGTTTTTGAGTCTTACCCTATATTCCTTATGTCTTTATTGGGGGAAAAAAAACAATATTGATAAATCAAGAGAAATAAGCCTTTAGCAAAATGTAATTTTTTTATTTTTTTTTATAAAAATGTAATAATTCTCTTTTTATCTGCATATTATTCTGCAATGATAGCCATAATGTTCCATTTATATCCTCACAGAGGGTAACAATTTTCAGTGATCTAAATGTTAATATACAACAATAATCTTATACTATAATGAACAACTGGAATCATTGGAATGAATCATACACTTTCAGGCATACAGTATTAACAATTTCAAAATCATTGTCTATATTTTTAGTGAATCTTGTGATTGAGAAAATTAATCTTTGTTAGTCATTCAAGCCCAGTGAGAAGTAAAATCAGAAATCTCACTGAGCATTCTATGGTCACAGAATGGTCTAAAACAAAGGCTTGTGGTTGCAAGACTGATTCAAATGGCACATGGAATGAATAAAGGGCTTGGTAAAATAAGAAAGTGAACTATAACATCACCCTTTTTATATCCTGGCTGTTTATGTATAATATATATATATTAGTGTGAGTTACGGGTAAATGTAAGCAGAATAAATGTAGTTCTAAGGCTCCTGTTGGTTAAGATAAATACCAACTGACACACAGTAAAATTATAATTTTCCTAAACTATTTATTATTTTTTGAGTATTTATTCACCTTAACCCTTAAAAGAATTAGTAGACTTTGTGAGCACAACTAGTTTTTTTTACATCATAGATTTAGAGGTAATTATGGCTAGGTGACTAGGGATTCTTGTTGTGGAGAATCAAATAGTTAAATTAGACAGCATCTAGAAGTTTGGTACTCCTATAACCAAAGTCTTCATAACCATGGCTCCCTAAACACAATTATCCATACGCTCGAGATCCATATACAAACAAACTGTAGTTTTATATATGCAAGGCCTCTATCAGTGGTGTACAGTCCATACACATAAAACTGGCATTGAAAGCAGGGATGCATGTGAATGCAGTGGTGTATATGTATGTAGTGTTGGTGTTTGAATGCAAATGTATTTTTGCATTTAGTATTTGTGATGCATGGACCTATACACATAAACTGCTACACACACATACACACACACACACACAGAATGATATAGGTGTGCATACACACTGACACACAGATACACACACATATACTGACACAGATATACATACACACCGACATATACACATGTATGTTTTGTTTTGTGCACTGCATAAGATTTGGCACACCCCGTTCTAAGTTGAGCTGGTAGCTTGGCCTGCTCACTTCCCCCACCCACCATAACACAAGCATAATTTTAGATAGCATGAATTAATTGCATAGTATTGTGTTTTCGTGTACTTACAAACCTTTTTTTTTTTTTTTTTTTAATTAGATGACCTGGCTTTGCTAGGTCCAGAGGCATGAATACACCTCGGCTATCAGCCTACTGTCAATGGTTTATTCACTTTTAAGCTTAGTTTTTAGCCAAATAGCAGGCATATGATTAAGGTTATTTTTTTTTATTCTCCATTTACTTAGCTTAATCCTCGGTAAGCTGACAATAACACCATTGCAGTGCTCTGGGTCTAATATAGTAGAGTCTTTTAATCTCAAAAGACCAGTAACTAATATGATAATTTGGTTAATTGTTTATTCTTTTACATAAAATACCCTCCGCTCACCAGATAACAGGCATCATGGATGAAATTCATACTCACAAATCAAAACAGACATGATCAACTATTGCGTGTTTTGGTTGGTTTGTGGTTTGGGTACATTTCGTATTGGAGTTCAGGAATTCCATTGATAATCCGATAGGACCAAAATCTGATGAACTGCAGTTAGGAAAAAAATAAACGTCCAAGTCTAAAAAAAAACAACTTATAAATATGAGCCAGTCAAATAAGAGAGTAATTACCATAAAAAAATAAAATAAAATAAAAATCTAAAAATTGCCCTTGCATGTAAGTTACAAAATAACTTTTGTCATGTAGGGTTGAAGAAAAAGCATGTAGGTGAACACCTAAGTTAAAATAAGAAAAGAAAAAAAATATTACATTTATAAATCTTTTTTCACCTATGCGCCAGCAATATATGGTCAGAGCTACTTAAAAGCATACTTCTTTGAGAAGACATCAAATAATCAGTTAACTTTTCTCAATCCCATCTGTTCATTAACCTGCATTTCTGTTTCTTCTAGGCATGTCATATTATGTTCAGAGATTTAATTATATAAATGACTTGGATGTAACACACTTTACCTTTTAGTGTAATTATACCCTACTCCCTTTAAACTGCAAGCTCCTTTCAGCATGGCTATAATCATCCTTTTCCAATTTTGGAACTTTACAAATAACAGTTAACCTTTAATATGTACCACCTGGTAGGTAGAGCATGGCTTATATTGTTTAAATCTTCACAGGCAACACATGGGTGAAGAGAATGAGGGAAGATAAAGCAGGTCCTCTCTTACTGACAATAGGTCTGCTGGGCTACTTTATTAATGTTATTAGCTCTTATCTCAAAGCCATGAGATGAATCAATGAGCATGTGGTCAGTAGTGGGCACACTGTCAACCATTTTGTGAAGAAATTAAGTTGCCATTTTGCAGTACTAATCCAGATTGCTAGAAGGTCCAGGGAATCTCCTCTTTATTTTTATTTGCACACAGGAAGCTAGTTCTGCTAGCAGACCAGCTTTTTAATTGAGGGCTAAGTCAGTATTTGCTCAGGACTTTAGAACTAAGAACCATCATGGTGTTATTTTGGGGTTGTCCAGAATCATATCCGAGGATTTTGTATTGAATACAAATTTGAATGCCTTCAGGTTAATCAGAAGAATGGTTTGCAAAATGTAAAAAAAAGAAAAAAGTAAACATAATAACCTTAAGTTTTGACTTTCAGTTTGCTACAAATTCTTCAATTTTTTACATAGTTTGAAGAAAGTAGTACATACGAATAATCCCAGTT